GCCGCGCTGCCGGCGGCGGCCACCTCCGGGCTGCTTCCCCCCTCACGGCTCGCCCCCGGCCCGCGCCGCTGAGAGGCCGCGGCGTGCGGAGCGGGCAGAGCGCAGGGGCTGCAGTGGCTGGCTAGCTGCTGCTTCTCCCTCCTCCTGCCGGCGCCTCATGTGCCCTCCTCCCGGGGCTCTCCGGCCGGGCCGCCGCCGCTCCAGCTCCCTGCTCTCCAGCGGCGCCCGGGGACCGCCGCGGAGCCCTCCCGCCGGGCGGCAGCGCACGTGGGGCGGCTGCGGCCGCTCTCCTCCGCCTTTGCCGGGCGCGGGGCTGCTCGGGCCGCGCAGCCTCCTCCGGAGGCGGGGCGGCGCGGACACCTCGGGGGCTGCGGCGCCGCCCGCCGCCGGCGGGGCAGCAGGAAGGGGCGGGAGGGAGGGAATGCCGCCGGCGGCCACCTCGGCGGCCGCTGGCTCGGTAATCGCAGCGCTCCCTTTCCCGCCCCCCGGAGGCCATTACCTCATGGCCCAGCCCTGCCGCGGAGGAGGGGCCGAGCGTCGCCCGGCAACCGGCCCCCTGCCGCGGGACGGGCTGGGCGAGGCGGCGGGAGGGGGGATCTGCGCCGCCCGAGGGGTTTGTCGCTGTGCGGGCCCGCCCGAGGGGGCCGCGGTCAGCGCTGCCCGGCACTGCTCCCCCCGCTTCTGGGCCACGCCAAGCGACCTGGTCCCGTTGGGAAGGCGGAGGGGGCGAGAGTGAATGCACGATGTATTAAACGCCAGAAAATCCCCCAAGGAAAAGATTTATTATTATTGTCCCAGCTAAAAAGAAAAGCTTCGGTCCAATTCTTTTTCCACTCTTTTCAGTGGTGCCCCGCAACAGGACGAGGAGCAGTGGCCATAAACTAAAACACTTCAACATGAGGAAAAACTTTACGTTGAGGGTGGCAGAGCACTGAACAGGCTGCCCAGGGAGGTTGTGGGATCTCCCTCTCTGCAGACATTCCAAACCCGCCTGGACGCGTTCCTGTGTCATCTGCTCGAGGTGACCCTGCCTTGGCAGGGGGGTGGACTGGATGACCTCCAGAGGTCTCTTCCAACCCCAACAATTCTGGAATTCTGTGACAAATTAAAAAAAAAGAAAAAGACAAGCACAGAAGAAATCACAAGTCCTTCTGTCTGCAGCTCTCAAAACTATTTGTTGGAGGAGGGTGTGATTATTTTTGTCTAACGGCAAGGGAAGAACAGAGTTTTGTTCAAGGTTACAGCTGGTAAGACAAAAAAAATGTTGCAGTCGTGCTGGTGGTGACAGGATTTCGGAAGTGTGGAATAACCAGTGAGTGTAAATGGATTCAGGGTTTGACCCTGAATAACCCACAAAAAGAAGCGATCCAACCCTTCGCAGATGCAAACAAAGAGAATCCCAGATGGAGATGCATGTTTTTAGGTGGCAGAAAAGAGAGGAGAAATGTTGCAAGGACGACAGAGGATTCGCAGGCAGCCGCCTGCCGAGCAGGCGTTGTCTTTAGAGCAAATCCCCTGCTAGTGACTAAGTTAGATGGGGCACGTGAGTCAACTTAAAACCTTCATGCTGTTGCCAAAAGGAGTGGGCTGCTTTCCCGACTTCTCTGATGGAGGAGCCAGGCACTCCTGTTTTTCCCAGGGGCTGACTGTGCTGCTCAGGGTTCCTCAGTGAGTGATTCAGTGTACTAACCTCACATACAACTAACTGTATTTTTTAATTGTCCATTTTCTGCACAATTAATGAACTGAACTGATTCACCATAAGATCACAGAAGTATCAGGAGTGAGCACAGAGGATGAATTGAAACTGTTAGACGGGGAGGAACAGGACCATCCCTTTGGTAACATTGCACTCTTAAATCATCTCAGTAGTCTCATCTAAATCCTCCCTAGGAGGATTCGTGTTACTGCCAGGAAGTCTAACACCTTGCTATCATTAAAAAGGTTGGTGCCTTCCTCTCCTCACCCTCAGTACTCACCATCATCCACCTGAGTCCTCCCATTGCTCCATATGTGCCTGGTCGTGTATACGTGTGACCCCGGGGTTAGGCAGTGAGCAAGCTAAATCTGGAGGCTTTAAGAAAGGGTAGTTTTCTGATTAATCCTGCAACAGCTAACTGTGGAGTCAGGTCTGAGTGACAGGGGTTGCACAAGAGAGGAAACCAGACTCTGAGGCTGTAAACGATGGATAGAGCCTCGAAGCGGCATCTGGGAATTTGTAACATAAGCTCAAGACAGCAGTGAGGAGTAATGGTCTGTATAGTGAAGGAGAAGTAATTTTGAGGAACAAGAGTTTGCTCTGTGTTTACATACTGTAAATGAGAAGCAGGGGGGGGAAAAGCAAAGATAGGCTGGTAAGGGATAAAAAAAAAAAGAGAGTTTTCAGTTCCACAGAAACAGAAGAAGACACAGAACAGGGACACCTTGGAATCCAGCCCAGGAAGAAAATCAAATGTTGAAAAAAAAGAAAAGGAGGAAATTATCTGCAGGTAGAGGGAAAACCAAGAAGTATAAAAGTGAATATCTGCACAAACAATAGAGAGAAACAAGTCTGCATGATTATAGAGTTCTTATTAAGAAGAACCAATTGACCTGTCATGTCTGTAAGAAACAAGAATTTGAGACGTAGTGCTGAGACTGAAGAAAGTCTTGTTAGAGTGAGGAGAAGTCCTTCACAGTGGGAGAAATGGAAATCACACAGACTATTCATACACAAACACAGTATGTAGAAGAGAGAAATTGGGGCTATGGGAGTGTCAGCCCCTTGCATGGAAGGTGTGTGTCTGTGCACTGGTTGTATGATGTGGTAGCTGTTTTTTGTTTCTGCTGCTTCAAATCCTCCTGATGAATTTTTTTGTTGTGTGGTGCTATAATGAACGTAAGCATACTCCATTGCATTCTTACCACCAGCTCAATTCCTCCACATAGGAATTCTGAAGGTAGGAATCGAGGCAATAACCAGATACTTTCAAAAAGTTTCCTAGATTTCTCTTCTCTCTTTCCATTTCCATTATCTTCTTCATTTCCTCTCTCTTCTCGATTATCACATGATATTATCATATTCATTCTCAATTTTGCTTCTCTGACTACATCTCTAGAAGAAACTTTTTATTTCTGCCCTGCTAAAATACAGGACTTTTCAAATGTACTTTTCAGTGAGCATGTTGTTATTTTTCTTGCATATTCCTAGGGACTGACTGTCCCTAGAACCTTCTGTATAATCCCTGTAAAGCAATCAAAGAATACAATATTGCTTTAAAAGCATTTGAAACCAGTTTCAGAAACCTCTGTTCAGTTTGCCAACTGAAGATCTCAATTGCAGCTATGATTGTGGGGATAGACAATTTTAATCTCAGAGAACAAACTAATTCCTACAGGCATTAAGAAAAGTTCTGAGGGAAAAAAAAAATCACTAAAACATACCCCATGGCTGTGTTTCCAAATAGCTGTGTCGTGGACTTAAGAAGAAAGTCCAAAAAGAAGTGTTGCTTCCTCTTTTTGTTCCCCCTGCTGGTACCTGATGTTACTGGCCTTATTTCTCACCCTTTCATAACAGCACGGACTAAGTAATACTGCAAGTCCTTTATAAGGATTGATGAAGTGTCTACATAATGCTGCCTGTACAACATCTTTTCTCATTTAAATAGTGTTTTTTATAAAGCTGTCATTGCTTTTACTTGAATATCAGAACACAGATGCTTGCAAGTTGACTGACTGAGCACTTGAAAATCAAAAATGTGAGTAGTTTTCATTGATTTTTTTCTGGGTTTATGTTTTTGGGGTTTTGGTTGTTTTGGGGTGGTTTGTTTGTTTCTTTGTTTTGGTTTACAAGAAGTTATGTGATGCTGCTTTTGCTGGAAGAATTGAATCAGCAGAAAAGCTTTTCTTGTTCAGAGCTCTGTGCTTCCTTCAGTAAGCATCAGCCAGCACCAATGCCTTCCCATTCCTCAGCTGCATCTCTGCTGGAAATTTTTTTTCCTGTAAAGGGGCTGCATCTTTCAGGAGCAGTATCAGTTTATGGAATTGGTTTGAAGTGTTATTGCGACCGTGACCTAAGGAGAGCAGACACATGTGATTTGAGAAAAAACACAAGCAAGATGAGAGGCTAAATAAAAGTAAAGTTTATGGACAAGCAAAAGTATATAAAGCATATACATAAGCTGAGGAGACAAATAAAATCAAGATAAAAAGATCTTAAAGAGAAAACTCTTTAAAAATTTGCTGCATAGTGGATCATAAATAATAAATATGGTAAAAGAAGCATTATTCCAGAGCTTACAGTTTGAAAAGAAAAACACGAAGAGACCAAACAGTGACTCAGAGGATGGGGTTTTGCACATATTTGATATTAATGAAATGCAAGTTGGAATAAATAGTTTGTAAAGCTCTGATTAGCATTAAAAGTGAACTCAAGTACACAAACAAAGAGGAAATTAAATGCAAGATAGTGGGATAATGATAAATGTGCCAGGCATCCATTTAGCAAGAAATGGAAAAAAACCATGTAATCAAGCAAAGCCAAATGAAAATTACACTGTGGAATGATGATAATAGCTTCAAGACATTGTGAATTCTAATCAGGATGCAAAAGACATCCTGAGTATACAGGCTGAATCTTCAGAATATGCAACATAAAAGCCAATGCTTGCTGCTGAAACAGTGAGTCTACATATGTGACAAAAAACCGTAAATCTTGAGTCCAAGCTGATGGATATATTTGAAGAAAATGGGATTTCTCCCGACATGTTATATCTAGAACAGACAAAAGTAATTCGACCAGTACAGCACCTGCTTAACACACTATCTATTCCATTAGAATAAGCAATAGTTTGAACACTGAAATACACATAAAAATAAATAATTTTACATAATCTCAAAATTACATAAGCGGCACAATAGTCCCTGAAAAAAAAGTTAGATACTGGTAAGGCTTATTCAGCCCTCCTGCATAGATAAAAATAGTCATTATATTTTGGAAGCCAGCAGGTAGGCTTGGGTGTTGAGAATGCTGTTAGTAGTGAACCTTGTAGCTGATGAGTATCAGGTCTGCCATCTAGGCTCAAAAATCAGTATCAGAGCTGATGATACTCAGGAATGTGATATGAGGAATTCCTGGCAGAAAGTGTGGTAACCATTACAATTAACCCCATCTCATTGGCAGATAATACAAACAAACGTACAAAAAGGAAGTTGGTTTTGATTGTGGTATCACATACCGAGCAGTTGCTAACTTCCCAGAGAAACCCAATGATTTTGGGAAGGTAAAAGTAGCTTGTAATATGCTAACCTTTAAAGGTATTAACTCAAGAGAGTATTAAAAACCACAGAGTATCCTACCACATCTGTTTTCAACCTTAGACATTGAGACCATAATAGAGGAAGAGGCAACACAAACATGGTACACATGCAGTATTGGTGACCTTACAAGCTGATCCAGTGAGGTGAGATTTGGAGCCCTGTTGTTGTAAAAGAAACCACTAGTAGTTTTTTGCCTCACCAGTGAAACAAACACATTGGCAAGCACTGTTTTGCAATAATGTTTCCATAGGGTAAAGGTCAACTATTTGAGAAAAAAAATTCTCAAACAGAAATCCCAGAAGCTACTGAAGAATTTTAAAAGTCATTGCTATTCCCAAATATCAGCAACATATGATAATGAAATGGTAACACTTGAATTTTTTTAATGAATTTGAGAAGGACCAGTGAATACAGCAGTCTTTTACCAGAAAACCAAGGTGACTAAATCATAACATGAGAAGCCTAATGTTACCACAGAAGTGCAAAACTAAAGAAAAACAAAGTTCCACTCAAACAATAAAAGTATGTGCTAGTTTCAAGAGGATGTTGGAAAAAAATATGAGAATAAAATGCACAAGATTAAGATGTGCTTACGTCCACCATTCTGTCAAAAAGGTCAAAGACCAGAGAAGTGGTCCTATGTACTTCCCAGGAATGACTGAAGTGTCAAAGCAAATGGAACATAAAAATATTATATTCGAGCTACTGAATCATCATTCTCAGGATGCTGAGAATAGAAATTCTCCTGAGAATGGGGTCAGTTGGAATAGAAATAAACACCATGTACTAACCAGATGGGACAGAGCATGAGTAATCATGATATCTGAGAGAAAAGCTAGGACATGTGGCAAAATAGAACTCTATAGCATTTTCAACAGGCAATAGAGCAGACTGAAGAACAGATCTTACAAAACATGGAAACACACCTTAAAATTACAGGCTACTGGTCAGACCTCTAGGAACCAGGCAAAATGTCAGAGGCTTACGTAGTATCCATTGAGGGCAGAGCAGTGAAGTGTTTAAGCATGCCTGAACTATGTGATTGCAATCACGAGATCTGAGTTTACCTTAAATTAGATCATACATTTATTTGAGAACAAGAATTTGATTACATCTGACTGTCCCGTATAATAGCCAGGCAAATAGCAAGGCCAAGTTTGCTGTACAGATTGCTAGGAGTATTGAAATGGTACAAACAGCAGAGAGAATATTTTGCATTCCGTTCTTGAATGTTGAAAATATTCCCACAGAAAAGTTCACTGCAGTTGAGTACAATGTTTGAAGTCATGTTCAGTTACAGAATAAAGGAGTAACAGACTGAAACAGGAAGAAAAGAGTCTTATAAATACAGCCCTGATCTGTATTTGTATTTAGATTATTTCTGCAAGATAACTCTCGTACCTGAAGCAACTGACATGTTTGAAGAGAGAATTCCCCATGCATACACCAAATCAAAGGGACAATTCCCCATCTGGAGTATATTGAAATTGTGCATCCAGATGGTAAGAAACATAGAGATACGTAATGAAATGTGTATCAACAATAAAGAAGTGCCATAGTTCCTAACTGAGAGGGGTGGGAAAAAAAAGGAGTATAAGTTAACGTCTCCCTATGCCTGCCCTTAATTATACTGAATTTTTTTTATCACGGAGATATTTAATTTGAAAAGCTATAAAGGTCTTGTTCGATTGTTACTAAACATTTGTTTGAGTGTGTGCCTCTCTCTGTAATGCTATTGCCACTATTACATGAAGATTTCAACAGACTTTATTGTTATTAAAGTTCATACAATCTTCCTCCCCCAAAATGGGATATTTACCGCGTTTGCATAAACCCAACCCCTAACCTGGACTAATATAACACAAAGCTCTCACAGCATGAACCACTAGAAATATGGAAGCAAAGACAGTGCCTTGATAGTTATCGTGGCTTAGTTTGTCTTCTTGGACAGGGACAAGGAAACTGACTTTTCTAAGATCTGGCATTGAACTATTGCCAGAACTCGTGTGCAACTGAGCTAATATTCTATTCCTTCTTCTTTATATTAGTCACCCTTATCAGAGCCAAAGATAAAACACACATTTTTCTAAAACCTAAATAAATCCCTCTTCAAAGCATACTTTTCTTGCAAATATTAAAAGAAACTAAGTGATGCCTACTTACGCATTCAGTTTATTTATATCTAGTCAACTACTCACGTAAAGAAATAGAAAAATTACTTTGTTTGTGCAGCTTCAAAGCTGTAGCTTCATTGATAATTACAGGTCAACTCTGAAATTACTGAAAACTTATGCTGCAAAATAGGATAGAGCCCCAACTTTCTCAGCCCGTTGTCATAGGGGAGGTGCTCTAGTCCTCTTGTCAACTTCGTGGCCCCCCTCTGGACTTGCACTAACAGTTCCATGCCCTTCTTATGTTGGGGACACCAGAACAGTATGCAGTACTCCAGGTGGGGTCTCACAAGAGAAGAGCAGAGATGCAGAATCACCTGCCTTGCCCTCCTGGCCATGCTACTTTTGATGCAGCCCAGGATACTGTTGGCTTTATGGGCTGTGAGTGCACACTGCCAGCCCAATTTTCCATTTTCATCAACAGGGAGGGTTTGGTTTTGAGTTTTTTCCCCCTTTTTCAGTATTAGAGAGAGGGTTTGGGTTTTTTTCCCCCCTTTTTCAGTATTAGAGGGGTTTAAATTCATAATGAAATCTTTCTGACAGTGGAAGTAAAAAACCTGACCATCTGTTATCATACAGAGTAAAAGAAACATTGACTCCTTCCTGTAACTATACTACTTCTTTTATCAAATTTGGTTGAAATGGGTCAATGGGTTCAAACCTGTTAGGAGGTCAAAATAAAGGTGGGACAATGGGCAAAACAGAATACTTTACAGCTTGCTCTAGGACAGACCAAATGTCGTTAAATGTTCTGTTAGAATTATAGAATGGTTTGGGTTGGGAAGGGGCCTTAAAGATCATTTAGTTGCAACCGCCCAGCCAAGGGCAGGGACACCTGCCATTAGACCAGGCTGCTCCAAGTCCCATCCATCCCGGCCTTGAGCACTCCCAGGGATGGGGCACCCACAGCTTCTCTGATCAACCTGTTCCAGTGCCTCACCACCCTCACCGTGAAGAATTTCCTCCTAATATCTAATCTAAACCTACTTTTTTTTTTTTTTCAGTTTGAAGCCTTTTCCCTTTGTCCTGTCACTACAGTTACTGATGTTGCCCATGAGAAAAGGACACTTGACTTTTTCAGGGGCCTTACAAAACCAAAAGCAGACAACCAACCAACGAAACAAAAGAAAAGCAGACCACCCTGAGATGGAAAATAAAGTGAAAACCCACTTGACTGCTAAAAACAGAAGATGCTTGTTTCAAGGGCTAAATTTTGACATTTGTGTCCCTCAATTAGGCACTTACAGAGCGCCACAGCAGGGCTGACGACGTTAACTGCTGATCTGACTATGGAGGTTTAATAGAGGAGCCCCAGCGACCCAGAGTGGAAGCGGCGGGCGGAGCATTCCCGACAGACACACCAGCCCCAGGAGCCCCTCACCCCAACATCCGGGAGCTCCCCCCCGGGCTCGGCCCGGTGGTCCCGCCCTGAACGTAGGCGCCTCCTGGCCCAATGGCAGCTCCGCTCTGCTTCCGGCGTCCGGCCCCGTCTCCTGGATACGGTCGCGGGGTGGCGACCATCCGAGAGGCGGCGGGGGGGGGCGGGTACGGGCCCCGGTCGGACCCATCGGCGCGTTCCTGCTAGAATAAGGGGAAACAAATCCCCGCAGTTCCCAGAGTCACCCTGCCTGCTGTGCCGGTGCCCCGCCCGCTGAGTTTATTTCGTGGCGCGCAGGGACGGGCGTCCCGCCGGGACACTGCCACCGGGGCATGGGAGACGCCGTGCCGGGGGCGGGGCTCCGCCGTTTCGGTTGATGGCGGCGGCGCGGCGATGATGCTGCCGCCGGGTCCATCCTGCGCCGCATAAGTACGGCGGTCGCTCCCTCCCTTTCCCGCCGGGTCCATCCCTCTCCGCACAGGTACGGCTGTCGCTCCCCTTTCCCGCTTTCCTTCTTTCCCGCTTTCCCGCTCGCGGATCGCGGCCGTTACCTGGAGGGGCGCGGGCGCCCAACGGCCTCGCCCCTCACTGTCCTCTCTCTCCCCTCGCCGTGCCTCGGCCCCAGGGTGGGGTCGAACCGGGCGGGGCTGGTGTCCCCCGGCTGAAGGACTCCTTGTGTCACTTTGTTTGATCTCGTTGTACTTTGTGCCAAAACCGGTGAACGGATTCCAGCTCTCTGAAGTATGCCACGCGTGTTAGAGAGGTTGCGGATGCCCCCGTCCCTGGCAGTGTTCAAGGCCAGGCTGGATGGGGTTCTGAGCAGCCTGGTCTAGTGGGAGGTGTCCCTGCCCATGGGGAGGGGTTGGAACTAGATAGTCTTTAAGGTCCCTTCCAACCCAAGCCATTCTATGATCTTATCATTCCATGCTCTATTGATTTGTGTACTGAAATTGTGGTATAGCCATTACTCTTGAGATTCAGGGATGCGAGAGCAGATGCTTCTCTCTTCCCTGTTACCTTTTGCAGAGCAGCTAAAGTAGACCTTATTTGCAAGTATTGCCAGTCATGTGGTAGCAAGGAAAGCTTCCCTTTCCCATGTGTGAAGAAAGATTATGCACAGGTACCCCCAAATGCCAGACAGGATTGTAGGAAAATTTATTTCGAAAGTCGATAACACTAGACTTAAAGAACACTGACCTTTAGGGCATTTCAAACACTGGGCCTGGGGAACATCACACCCCCTGTTCTTCTCGGGGCTTTTATCATCCCTGCCCCTGCTCCTCGCTCTGGGGACCTTCAAAGATGTCTGCAAAGACTTATCTTTTTCTCATACCAGGGAGAGGAGAAAACATCTAAAACTGTCTCTGGAAAAGATGCCTCTTCCAGACAGGAAAGTCTTCCTAAGTAAAATAAGCCCTGATCTCTTTGTAATATATCTTCCGGAAGGGTCTTACACCGTTACACCATGACCATGTGCCTTTATGTGTTATTGGTCTTGCTTTTGTCAGATAACCAGATATTTCTGTACTTGTCCTTGAGCCTGTCATGCATTGGTGTGCTTTGTTGCCTGAGTGGATGATAATGCCTTTCATATGACCAAAAATGAAGATATCTTCCATCCATGTAATGTATATGTGCTGTTCAGTCTTGTGACAAGGTGCACATGTCAGGTTTGAAGTATTCATGGAAAGAAGAAGAGCAAGGAAGGGGCTTTGGTCATCATGATCCTCAGCTTCCTTATGAGGGGAAGTGGAGAGGCAGGCACTGATCTCTTCTCTGATCTTTCTGGAAATATATAATCCCTATTTTTGAGCATTGGGAGGGAGATACTGTACATCAATGACTATTACATTTGAATGCTTCCCCCTTCTCCTCCTTTCTTTAAAGGATTATTTGTTTATGAGACTAATACCATGTTTTCACTCTCTTGCCTGTAAAGCATCCTAAAGTATGGAGAACTTCATTCTGTATGAGGAGATTGGAAGAGGAAATAAGACAGTTGTTTATAAAGGAAGAAGAAAAGGGACAATTAATTTTGTTGCCATTCTTTGCACTGATAAATGCAAAAGAGCTGAAATAACAAACTGGGTAAGTAATGGGGTTTTCCCTGCTAAATCTGGGAAAAGATACAGCCTACCAAAACCTCGTAGCACAGATATTATAGAAGAAAAATACCATGTGCTTCTTTAGATGGAGTTTGTCATCATTTAGATGAACTTCTTAAGATTTTAAATTCTTATACTTTAAATAGAGTCTTATTTTAATGTATTTATTTCTTAATCTGATTTTATTGTTTTCTAGATCACAAGCTTAAGCCCATGTTTACAGTCTTACTGTGTTTGTGATGTGTCAGAGAACTTGTAACAATAGCTACTTGCATTTAGCAGTTTGCTTTACTTTGCCATTAGTTGTGCAAATCCAGTGGCAGTAGTACCTTCCAGTAAATAATCAATTTCTTACTTAGCAAGAAGAAATTATTTTTGATGAAAGAAGACCGTTTAAGATAATTCAATCCTGGTCTGTAAAACCTTGGCACAGTTTTAAACATCTTATACTTTGTGGAAAAGAAACTGTAACTGATACAGTTGCACAGTTCAAATATTTTATTTTTCCAGTAGATAGGTTTTGTTTCTCTAAGGGGTTAACCTTGGCTGGATTCCAGGTTCCCACCAAAGCCACTCTATCACTCCTTTCCTCAACTGGACAGGGGAGAGAAAATATAATGAAAGGCTTACGGGTTGAGGTACGTGTAGAGAGAGATCACTCACCAGTTACCCTCACAGGGAAGACAGACTCAGTTTCGGGACATTAATTGAATTTGTTGCCAGAGAAGAATAATGAGAAATAAAACCAAATCTTAAAACAACTTCCCCCCACCTCTCCCTCTTCCTGGGCTCAACTTTACTCCCAATTTTCTTTCCCTCCTCCCCTGCCAGTGACACAGGGAGATGAGGAATGGAGGTTACAGTCAGTTCATCACATGCTGTCTTTGTTGCTCCTTCCTCCTAATGCTCTTCCCCTGCTCCAGCATGGGGTCCCTCCCATGGGAGACAGTCCCTCACAACCCTCTTCAGTGTTGATCCTTCCCACAGGCTGCAGTTCTTCATGAACTGCTCCAACACGAGTCCCTTCCATGGCATACAGTCCCTCAGGAGCAGGCTGTTCTAGTGTGGGTCCCTGCAGGGTCACAAGTCCTGCCAGCAAATCATCTGCTACAGCGTGGGCACCTTTTTCCATGGGTCTGCAGGTCCTACCGGGAGCCTTCTTCAGCATAGGCTTCTCATGGGGTCACAGCCTTCCTCAGGCATTCACCTGCTCTGGTGTGGGGTCCTCCACAGGCTGCAGGCAGATCTCTGTTCCCCTATGGACTTCCACAGGCTGCAGGGGGACAGCTGCCTCACCATGGTCTTCACCGTGGGCTGCAGGGGAAACCCTACTCCAGCTCCTGAAGCACCTCCTCCCCCTCCTTCTCCACTGACCTTGGTGTCTGTAGTGTTATTTCTGTCACATGTTCTCACTCCCCTCTCTGCTGCTGTTCTGCAGCGGTGTTTTCCCCCCTTTCTAAATGTTATCACAGCAGCACTATGGCCGTCGCTGATGAGCTTGGCCTCGGCCAGTGGTGGGTCTGTCTTGGAGCCAGCTGGCATTGGATTAGTCAGACATAGGGAGAGTACTGGCAGCTTCACAGAGAAGCCACCCCTTTACCAAAACCTTGCCATTCAAACCCAATGCAGTTTTATATTCTCTCTCATTGTTTCAGTGATATTTCTTGGGAACCTTTTGTTCCTAGAAGCGTTACTAGTCTTACAAAACCATCGAGGGTACCTTACATACCAGTCAAGCAAAAAAACAGGCTTCTGTAGAGATTAGGCCATGAATGGTATAATAGAAGTATAGATCTCCAGGGACTCTGGAGTGATTGTCCTTGCCTGATAAGATTAAGAATAATGGAAAATTTTCTTTTTTCTTACTCTTGTTGTATTGTCTCTCATTTATATTCTTCTTGAAAAAAAAAACCCAGGAGTGCAAGTTTGACTCCAGGTTCTGATTTCCAGTTTGTTATTGTATTAGTGATGCAGGAAGGTTAAATAATATTTATAATTTTGGGTTGGGGAAGTTCCTAATTTTTTTTCTATAAACAGGTGAGCTGGGCAGGATCTGTGAGGAAAGTTATCTTTTCTCAACATACATGTAAAGCTAAAACATTTGAAGAATAATATTAGTGCACTGGAAAAGGCAAGAGAACAAGTATTTCATCTAGGGTAAAGGTGTATTGTTTCTTGCTGCCCTGCCATAAGTCCATATAAACATATATATATTTATTCCCCCCCCTCCAGTTAAGTATGTTGAAAACTTTGTTCTAGGTTCGTCTGACTCATGAAATCAGACACAAGAATATAGTGACATTTCATGAATGGTATGAAACAAGCAACCATCTCTGGCTTGTAGTGGAACTGTGCACAGGTAAGATAAGCTCAAAAGGTAAAAATTTATAAATGAGTGTTTGTAAGAGATTTCATCTGGCAGTTTCTCTACAACAAATCTTTGAAAAAAGCATGATTATCTGATTATTAGCTTGAGAACCCTGTTTATATATAAAAATGGTTTTGCTCTTGGAAACATTTTTAGAAATCAACTGAAATAATTTCTCCTCTCCTTCACTGTATGTGTCTGTTAAATGTTAGTTGATGTGGCATAATTTTGATTTTTAAGAGCTGAAGAGAGATGGCTAATCAGGGGAACATAAAAACAAATTATGGATAGTTGGAGGGTAGTTAAGTAATAACTTGAAAAGTTTTCTAAGTACTGGCAGCTTTGGCATTCTCTTTTAAAAGACAGCAAGGAGCAAATTAAGCTATAATGTATAAACGAAAATGTTGTTCAAGTTAATTTTTAATCAAAGGGCAATTTAGCAGCTAAAGTAACTTATTTAAATTTTCTTCCTATTCTGTGCAAGTATTTTGACTTCCATGTTAAAATGTTAATTGGGGAGCTCTGAGAACCCAAAACTACATTAAGTGATTCACTGAATTTTGATAGGTTCTTATCAATCTATTAAAGAAATCTTTTAAAGCTTTCTGTAATTCTAATGACTGCATATTTTAAACTCCCAATAGTGTTCTTTACTCCACATGGAGAGAAAAGAAAGCCAATAGGCAAGTGATGCATGTTAAGATTTTTGGCATCTGAAGTTTGTTTAGCAGTAAAAGCCC